CCCTATTATAATCCCCATAACCCACCTTACTAACCCTACTTACTAAGTCAAAAGGGCCTCCAATTCTTCTCACACGCACCTTGAACCTTCATTTACTAACGTATAAACAAACACCCTTTGAAGAAGAGATGGAGGGACCTTCCTATTCCATGTTGAAGGTTCCCTGTATGGCTACCATTGCTGTCAAAGCATTGTGAATCGTCGGGGAGATGTACAGACCCAGAGGGTCCAATTAGTAGGGCTTTACGCCCTCTAAAACCCTATTGTTTGAGTATTGGAACCCCCTAAACCCTAAGCCCTAACCCTAAAACCTTTGGGAAAGGTTCTGGAGCTTACTACTCGTGTCTGGAAGAAGATGGGGTGCCTAGTGAACCATTCATCTTTGGCAGTTCGAGGTTGCCCGTATTTCGTATTGTTGGGTTTTGGGGGGTTTTGGGGCTTAGGGTCGCTGAATCTTAAAGCTTCAAAGGTTGGCCCCCAGAAAAACGTATTGACCTTTGCAAATGCTAACCCTAAGGCTGAACATAGCCCACAAGCATTCTAAGTCTAGTCTGGTCTTTGGGCCCAACACCGTTTAATTTGAGCCCTTGCAGCACTAGGGTCTTCCACACTACTAATGTCCTCTAAACATCCGTGCCAGGCCATATATGCAGCTGCCCGGCGCTCAGGACGAGCATGGCTGCTTCCTTCCACTGCAGAAAGTTGCAAACCATCGCGAAACGCACCTTAAGCCCTGAACCCTTAAACCAAGAACGCCAGGCTCCGACCCCTCAATTGCAGGGCCTGGCCCTTAGCAACAGTATTTTAGGGTCGGCACTGGTAGTCCCGTACCCGCCCCAGTGCCAAAACTGCATAGTTTGCCCCAACGCCTATTCTTCTAGCTCTTAGACCCAAAGCCCCAAGCCCCAAGCCCTAGAATGGGCATCGACAAAAAGCCTAAGCCCTAAATCATCTACTACTCCTTACTTCGAGGCTCTTGAGAGTGGAGCAGACCCGTTGATGCGAAAGTTGCGATCAGGAACTCCTTTTCTAACCCTAAAAGGCCCCAAGTACCTTATATTCATAGAATGTCCCAAATACTAACCTACAAGACTACTAACCCTAAACCCTAATCCCTAAACCCTACTACGCTAAACCCAGGCACCCGATTATCAGGTCCTTTGGACCTTCAGGGTAAGGAGCTTAATGGTCTTTGGGTCATAAAGTCTCAAAATGTGAGTCCTCAGAGCCGTACAGCTCAGGGATACGAGCCTTGATTTGGGCGACCTGCTGCAGTCAGTGATTTTAGGGTTTAGGGTTTAGGGTTAAGGGTTCTGCCGAAGTCAGTGTGTTCGAAGGCTGTGGGCAACTTAGTTGCCTTGTTTGTTCCTATCTCTATCCGTATGGCTTACCGTGGTAGCTGCACGCTGCTGTCGAGGCTATTCGCGATAGGGTACTCTAGTACATGGCCCACTGCAAACGTGTCTTGCAACTGCACATGTAGGTCCACGTAGGTGCGAAGGTTTCGTTTGCTGATGTTCGCAGTGATTTCAATCCAGAACCATTTAGCTCGACCCTGACTAACCCATGCACCCAATCCCTTTCCTGCTGAACACAGGTCCGTCCAGTACGACGTGGCTCAAGTCATCCGGGTCCTGAAGGCATCACTCTGTCTCTGACTGGGGGTTTTCTCTGTATCGCTGAGCACCAGGAACAAGCGTGTCAGGGGACTTGGTGTGCAGGTTGTAGTAGGTACCCTAAACCCTAAACCCCAAACCCTAAACCCTTAAACCCTTAAACCCCTTAACCCTTAACCCTAAACCCTAAACCGTGGAAAGGATAAACCCTAAGCCCTTAACCCTAAACCCTAAACCCGTGTAGTCCCTAAACAGTAAACGCAACTGTAGCCCTGGTCAAATCTGACTTTCTCAACCCCTCAGCATGCAAGGACTTGCATGGATGGTAGGGTGTTGGTGCTGAAGGATGCTCAAGGTTCTACAGTAGGGGTTGGGGTGTTAGGGTTTAGGGTTTTGAAATTATAAGGTTTAAGTTTTGGGGTTTTGGAGTTTTGGAATTATGGTTTAAGTTTGGGGTAGTTTAGAACGGTACCGACACAGGAGAATCATTTGGAAAAGCTCGCAGGGGGGGGGGGGGGGCC